TGGCTACGCCTATTTTCCAAAAATTTATAAAATTCATGTTTTCCGTCTGAAACTCATTGTAAGTATCAATTTTGAGTGAATTATCTTCAGTAGTTACTAAAATTTCGCAGTTTTCGTATTTCTGTAAAATTACCTTATATGGGAGGTAGGCGTGGTTATTGTCCGATTTCGCCAATACCATCCGTCCTACGCCCAAAAGAAGTTCACGTACCAAGTTTCGTTAAGATATCTCAATTTTTACTCGAGTTATCGTGTGCACAGACGGACGGACGGACAGACAGTCACCGCTTAATCGATTTCTCTTTTCATTCTGATCATTTATGTATACATTTGTCTATATCTATCTCGATTCGTTTTGCCTGTTACAAACAACCGTTATGTGAACAAAGTTATAATACCCTTGTGCACAAGTGCGCTCGGGTATAAAAATAAGAAGAGTTCCCTGAGACTGAAGGGTTGTTTAATTCCATCACAGAGACTGGACTCACACATTATCGAATCTTCACTGATGGCTCCAAAACTGACTCTGGGTAATGATCTGTGGTCTTTTTCTAAGTTAATGGGTATAAGCTTCACTTTTCTGTTGGGGACTACGTGGTGGAACATAAGTGGAGGGGAAAGAGTTTACGTGTCTGCAGTGACAACCAAGCTACACTTAGGGCATTGGACAGCCCTCTAACTACTTCAAAACTAGTTCGACAATGCAAGTATAGACTAAATTATGGTGGTACATACATAACGAGCTTGCTTTACTCTTGGTGTCAGGTCACTCAGGAGTACCTGGAAATAAGACATCTGACCATTTGGCCAGAATTAGCTTAGACCAGGCATTCCTCGGTCCGCAACCAGTTTTACCACACACACTTTCAGCAATCGAAGCAACCATCAGAGACTGGGTGAATACTTCGCTCAGAAATGCCAGGGAGCCATCGAGTGGATGCAGATGGGCAAAACTCATGTTGCCTTCAATCTCAGAAGGTCTGTCTAGTTTTTTCCTCTCACTGAGAAACGGAACTGCTGACTGGTCACTTCACGTGGCACAAACACCTGACTGTCACAGGCATAAATAACAAGTGCATTTGCCCATCCTGCCTTGAAGAGGATGAGACGGTGAAACACTTTTTGTGCTTCTTGCTTGCTTGGATGTTTGTCATCAATTTTTCTAGACTCGTTCTTTTCTCTGTTGTCAGTTTCTGAATTAAGAGTTTGGCGTAAAAAGCTTAGCCGTTTTGATGTTTTAAGTCTTGTTATTTAAAAAATGTGAGTGATAAATATTTTTCGCATCTCTTTAAAACTCGCAGGGATAAAAATAAAAATGATGCCATCAACACAAATAAACTATTTTGCAAATACTCCACGTACAAAGTCATGAGTGAGCCGAGCATTTCATGAGTTTATGGTGATATGGTGAGAGTATTTTGATGGATTTATGAGCTCTATTTTTCAAAACCGGCAGGAGTGTAATCACATTATTTTAATAAATATAAATGAAAAATAATAGAAAGAATATATTTTAGTTTTATTTTGGCCACTCCGAGTTTAGTTTTTGGATTCACCCGCGATGCCAATTTACATAGTTAGATCTAATCTTCACATTTCATTTATTTACGAGCTTTTGAAATATTTAGAAATATATATGCAGGGGGTCCACCAAAACCAGTAAAAAAGGGTCTACGAGAAAAAAGATTTTGGGAACCTCTGCTCTAAAGGAAAGGTAAGCTGCCTTTCACAAAAAAATTCTTTAAAAGCGGGCTGGATTTCGAATTAAACCGAAGGTAGACTACATGGAAAAAGAAGGCTCCATTATGCTGGAGAATAGCCAAGTTATCGAGCCGAAGACCACCCTCTTACCCCATTCATTACACCGGCATACCGTTTGGCTCCTACACCTCCTAAATTTCGGGTAAATTACAAAAACACCGAAAAAATTGCGAAAAATTGGCAATCTACTCGAAATTTTGGAGTGTGCGAGTCAAACGGTCCTCAGACTCAGATTCAGCGGGTCGAAATGCATGTCGGTAGGGGGGCTTGGTTAATTGCACAGACCACTTTTTTGTGCCGGTGCAACGGCTGAATTTCGAGTGCACAGGCACACAAAAAAAGTGATTTATGCATTTAACCAGACTCACTGCTGAATCAGAATTTGAGGTTTGTTTGATTTGTTTGACCCTTACACTCTCAAAATTTCGAGTAAATTGCGAAAATTGCGATGTTTTTGCCTTTTTCACATCTTTCGCAATTAACTTGAAATTTATGAGGTGTGCGAGTCAAAAGGAGTACATGTTGGTAGATGGGAATGGTTAAAACCCCACACCATATTTTTTTTTTGTCCGGTGTTATCGAAGGTAAGGCAAGAGATTCGTTATCCAATTACTTATAAATTTTTAACTGAGCCAAATGTCGACATGATTTGCTAAGGGTATGAATACTACAGGATATGCCAAATCCAAAACTTTAGAGCAGTTTTTATCAAGATTTTGGTTTTATGACAGTATTGAAGTAAATAAGCATTATGTTCATTTACACTTTCGCCACAATGCCCATTGGGTAATTTTAAAAAATTTTGCAATGTAATTAAAAAAATCAATTTTGTATGTTGTATGTTTCGTTTTACTTTAAAAGGTCGCATTGATAGTTCTGGTATGCGGATCAAACTGGCTCCGAAATTGAGACGATTCGATGCTGGCGTAATGGAATTGGGATTGGAATATACAGACAAGATGGCAATACCTCCGGGACAAGTAGGATTTCCACTAAGCGGTTATTGCATTGCCGAATGTACTGGAGTGGTGAGCCTTTGTAACAAAAAATATATGTATATGTACTTGTCGTCGATTGCCTTTTCGCTTTATAAATGCACATGTCTATGTTTAATAGGCGCTTCCTCCCAGAGGGATTATCATCTTCGGTTCACAATTGCATACCCACCTTCGCGGTGTACGTATTCTGACACGTCATTTTCGCGGCAAACAGGAACTTTGCGAAATCAATAGAGATGACTACTATTCCCACCACTTTCAAGAAATGCGAAACCTTCATTACAAGCCACATGTACAGCCGGTAAGTTTAATGAAAACTTTGTATTTTTTACTTTTTCTTATTTATTAGCAGGGAACGGATTTTTAGGACCTAAAAACTTATAAAAAAGGCTAAATAAAATAACGAAATAGGCTGGAAAAGGCAAAATAAAATAGCGAAAAATGCAGGAAAAGGCACTAGGTATTGCAAAAAAAGCAAAATAAGGCACTAAAAAAGACAGAAAATACGAAGAACAATCAATAAATACATTTATTTTAGAAATGTTTATATTAAAAGTAAAAGGAGAAAAACTATGAACTAGTTTCATTATATGAATAATTTGAATCTTTGACTATTTTATCCTTTCGAGTTTCTAACTCATAAAACTTTAATCTGTATAGTTGTAGTAACATTAAACCACAAGATGCATTTTGAAGTTTTCTGGCAGCATTTTCATTCGATTTTCGCGAAGAAAAGCCTTGAATGTACTAAATATTAATTTAAAACGTTTGAAACGTTCATATTATCAGGAATAAGGGCGTTTCTCGCCTTTTACAATTTATCCACTCCCCTTATTGTCTCCAAGCCTACGTTAGCTGAGAAAACGGCTTTGAATTTTTCCAACACCAATTTGGCAAGAGGTCCCAGCGCTTCCATAAGCCGCATGGGCATGTGCATATTTTTTAATCTTAAAAAAAAAATTTTAAATGCTATAATCACTTTTTTAAAGGTACAAAAGGCAAAAAAGGCATTTATCTTAAAAAGGCAAATATCTTAAAAAAGGCAACATAAAATGTGTATATATGGAATCAGGGAAAGCTAAATCGTGGACATTCTTAATCGAATATACTCTATCTCTTTAGCAGAAAAAAAGCAATTTCCATAAAATCCGTTCCCTGTTTATTAGATACCGTGGCGCAAATATAAACAGGGAGGAAACATTTAAGCATTCCTTGGCTATTTCCCTTCCGATTATTAATTAATTTTTTTTTTTAAGTATAGCTTGTCAGCTAACAAACGACATATACATATGTAAGTCAAAATTTTAAACTGTGTACAAAATTTAGGAAAATTTTGAGCAAGCACGGTGCAAATTTTAATTAACTAGGACTTAACGTTGATTTCTGGAAATTTTTTTGTAAAAGTTGTTACTCATTTTCTCCAAACAAAAAACTTGTCCACCATTTGTATGGAAGAAAATCCACGTACAAAAAATTGCCAAAAATCAGCAGTATGTCCTAGCTACTTCAAACTCGCACTTTATTATACTAAAATTTAATTGCCTACAAAATTTCATAATTAAAAAAAAAACAAAAAAATCGGATACATTTTGATTAACATTTGTTAAAATTCGTCGAATTTTTATAAATGTTCTACAAAGTTTTGCAAGCTATATTTATATAAAAAAAAAAAAAAAAAAATGTTAAACAATGAAAAGTAGCCAACATTTTCTAAAATGTCCTTTCCTTATTTACATTTTCGCCACCATAATCATAGGGGATTCTAGTCTCGATTGTTAAAGTAGTGATTGTACAATATACATACCATAGATATTGTTAACACGGCAACACATTTCTGTCGGTATTTTTCCAGGGTGATGCTTTAGTCACAACATGCTATTACAATACCGTTGGCCAAGAAAACGTTACTCTAGGTGGATTTTCAATCAGCGACGAGATGTGTGTAAACTACATTCATTACTATCCAGCTACAAAATTGGAGGTTTGCAAAAGCTCTGTTTCTGAAGAAACCCTGGAAAATTACTTTATTTACATGAAGAAGTAAGTTATTGTGTATGTGTACTTCTTAATACCCGGTTAAATTTCTGTATTTCCCCCGACAACTGCGACTCAGTAGCATCGATGATTAGACTCATTCCACTCTTCTTCTTATTTGGCTCTACAACCGTTGGTTGCGACGAGACCAAGACAGCCGGTTCTACGTACCGGAATGACTCGGGTTTTACCCGACCAAGGGCTGTTGTTTCGGCGACCTAACCCCGCCTAGATCGGCGATACCCCTCAATCATTGTTCGTCCATGGAGCAACTCCTTGCAGCCGGATTGCTCCGCATCCTTCTTCTCTGGGCCGGCGTAGAGCCCAACCCCGGACCAGAAACGTATTTCTGCTGTGTTTGCCAGAATCGACTCCATCCAAACTCCACTTCGGTTAGGTGCAACTCATGCAACGGATGGAGTCACCTAAGAACCTGCTCTGGTCTTTGGTCTCACCGGGAGTGGACCAAAAGCTATGTGGCTCCCTGCTGCTCAAGCCTAACGGCACAATCAGCCTCCACGGCTACCCGCTCGCGCAACGAACCCAACACCCGAAGAGCCTGCATGGCTCCGAGAAGCTCCTCTGGGCAGCAGCAAACCTCCCAACCCCCCTCCCTCCCCCACAGTCTACCGGCCTGTCTAACTCGCGCGTGCGAGCTAACCAGCAGCTCCTGGTTGCACACACCACCTGCACCGTTTGCCGGAGCAGAATATACCGGAACGTATACCCCATTGCAGCCACCTACCAACAGGCAGCAACAGCAAGCGCGTCAGATGCAACAGCCCACAGGTAGACCTCACTCGTCCCTCACCCCCCGTATCGCGACCAGCCTCCCAAGACACACGAAACTCCTACAACTCAACTGCAACGGACTCCAGAGCAAGATTGAAGATTATGGGTCGGCACGGCATATTGATAGCTGCGGTCCAAGAAACGAAGTTGCACAGCAACTCAACTCTATTGGGTTGCGCCGCCTACAATGTG